GATTCCTATTTATTATTACTTTTTATTTTAAGTACAATCTACCCCCCATCCTGGGGCTCAAACTCATGACCTCAAGATCAGGAGTCACATGCTGTACTGACTGAGCCAGTCATGTGCCTCTGATTCCTATTTCTTAAATGCTTACTATCCCAGATGGTGCACTAGGCTCTAGACATTCAGCTATAAGAAAAATGGGCGGGATGCCTGCCATCCCAGGCAGTCCCCTTTGCCCAGAGGGCTCCACCTGTTTTGGCCTACACTTGTCCATTCTTGTCCTTCGAAACACAGTCAAGCGTCCCAGTCTTCAAAAACCTGCCTGACCTTTCAACCCAGCACGGTTTACCAAAGTGTCTCTACTCACACTAACACCTGTGTTTGCTAAACTGTGGGCTGCATGAGGACAGGATCAGGTCTGTTTTACTCACAGCTGATTCCCTGGGATCAGGGCACTGCCAGGCTTAATGAGTGTGTGTTGACTAAATCTGGTTCAACAGCCTACCTGGTGGTGGGGTGAGCTACCTAACCTCCTTCCAATAATATCTGTTCTGTTAAGATTCAGCTAGACTGGGCTTCTGCTGTTTGCAACAAGGGACCCTGATGATACGTTCACTGTTTTGCTTTGAGTGGTCAGACCAGAGGGATGGACAGTGTGAAAGCTGGGGCTCCCTTCTCTTACTCCTGGGGCATTTGCCACCACAGCACAGGACATCAGAGCCTCAGAGACCAAGAGGCCCTGGGACATACAGATGGGGCAAAAGAGTTTTGTCTTCCCAGCATATATTTTACTCCTTTTTTTTTTTTTTTTACAAACAGACACTATCCCTTTGGAGTGGGTACTGCTCACCCAGCAGCTGTTTTATGATTTATTCAAGGCCTAGTTAACAAGAGAGGGCAAAATGAAGACATTTTCCAGACATTAAAAAAAAAAGGGGGGGGTGAGGATGCAATGGTTTACCCACTAAAGGAAACACGGAGGAACTATTTAAAATGACATTTGTAATTGTTTAGGGATATGATAATGCTGGAGTATTATTAAGTACAAAAAGAAAGATAAAAAATTATATTCCTTTTAACGAGGTTGAATTGAATGCCAAATATACATTTTTAAATACACCTGTGCAGTGAGAAAAGATTGTCAGGAAAGATACCAAGACCCCAGCGGCCGTTGTTTTGGGGCAGTGAGGGAATTCGGTGGTTCTTTTGTTCTTTATCTGGTTTTCTGCATTTTCTAAGCTTTATTTAGCCACACCAAAAGCTCTTGATACACAGAGTTTCCACGCTGGAAGGATTCTCGGAGATAAATAAAAATAGAATTGAATTGCAACGCTTGAAAATGCAATTCCCGAGCCAAGGCTCCCAGGTATCATTTGCATTCCCCCGTGAGAACCTCCGATTCGTTGTGAGAAGCCACCTCCTTTTCCTTAGAGAGTCTCGGTGTTTTCTTCTGGCCAATGGGGATGGCAGCGGGGATGACGACGGCCCCAACAGGAATGGAGCCAAGAAACCCACTGCCGGCCCCGCGCAGGCGCAGAGACCTTGTAGGTTTAACGGCGCGAATCCGCCACCAAGTGGCCGGTTAGCTCAGTTGGTTAGAGCGTGGTGCTAATAACGCCAAGGTCGCGGGTTCGATCCCCGTACGGGCCACAAGTGTGACATTTTTTTTCCCCGTGCTCCCATTTTTCAATTCATTTTACCTTTTTTTTTTTTTTAAAAAAATAGGCTTTTCGAGGGCTGTGAGCCGCAGACGGGAGAGAGCCGCGGAATCGTTTCAGACTCGGCACCGAAGTTGGCGCGGGCAGCCAGTGGGGAGAAAGGGCAGGATACCGCGCGTGTTCATCCCTCCAACTCAGCGCACGCTGTGCACACCTTGCAGCTGCCACTGGGGTCCTTTTTTTTTTTTTTTTAGGATGCTCTCGGATGCAACCGCCAGTTGCTTCCGAATACAGGGCTTCTGTGGACCCTCGGTGCAATCTTCAGCGTTCATGGAGATCTTAGACTTGGAAATCCAGGCCTGGAATTAATTCATTCCACAATTGCTTAGGGCGCGCCCTCTTACTGCATGCCGTTCCTGATTTGGGGTGGGAAGCAGAGCAGTAAAAGAGAAATACAAATCCCGACCCCCGCGGAGACAATGACCCACCAACGACTGCCATGTTTTTAGTGAGGTCTTCTGCTTGTGGAAGCATCTGGAAACCTTCTCTTGCTACTTTCTTGCTTTTCAGAGAGGTCTTAGGCTTCACATTTTTTCCTTTTGGTTCTGCAGTTTGCAGCCGGAAGGCAGCTGATGAATTTCTCACTGGCGGTTCAAGTCTCTGGGTGTAGTCAGGCATGTTTAGTTTAACACAAAAGCCAGTTATTTTAGGGTTGATGTCATTTTATATCAGGGTCTAGCAGGAGCTCTAGCCATGTTTGAAAAATATCCAGGGAGAACATCTACTAAATCATTCATTCTTTTCTCAAATATGTGTTAAGCTCTGATGGAATTCAGTAATAGCTCAAGGCCACAGACCAGAGGCGCAAGCCCTTGGCAAGTGCTCAGTGTGTATTAAAAGTGCTCATTAAATGCCAGTGATGGGACCCTTGTTCTTACCAACAGTTAGTTAGAAGGAGAACCTGGGGCTGCTGACGACGAGTACAGACACTTTGGAAGTCACGCCGTGGCTGTATGTGCCAGGCACCTTGTTTGGCCCCGCAGAGGAGGAGCCAGCTTCTAGTGCTGCCCTCAGAGCGGCACGCTGTCCTAAACAAGGCCTAAAGGGGTCCAGAATAAAAATTGTTTTGAGCAGAAGCCATCTGAATTCCTGAAAAGTCTCATCTGCCTAAAAGTAGAGCCTTCCCAAAGAATTCAAAAGAATTCCATTGTCATAAATCCCCTTCCCTGGGAGCAATCAGGAAAGATGGACTCTTGTCACTGGAGAGACGTTGCCATCACACCTACAAGGCATGTCACAAAACTCATATCTCCCATCTACTCTGGTAAGGGTCCATTTATCCTTCCTAAAAGGCATCTGTTTTCCCATAAGTGCCTTTCTCTCCTTCCCTTCCCCTATTAAGATAGTATATAGGCCCCGCGTTCTACCTGCCTCTTTGAGTCACATTTTTCTGTGAATTCCCTAGGTACATGAATAAAAATGCATCATTAAATTTTGTCTTTTCTCTTGTTAATCTGTCTTTTGTCACTTTAATTCACAGGCCCCCTAAAGACTGAAACTAAGAGCATAGAGGAAAAGTCCCCCTTCCTCCCTGGACAGGCTCAAAAACATGATGCGATGGGGTATTCCGCTCTAGAGGAGGAGGGCGGTTCTTGGCTTAGGGGTCAGAATTTAAAAAAAAAAAAAAAAGGAAAGAAGGGATTGAGGAACTGAAACAGATTCCATAAATCTAATCTCCCTTTAGGCCAGTCCTTAGTGAGGCCCCTAATGAATTGTTAGAGCACTGCAGGGAGCTTGGTGAATGCAACACGAGCATTGACTATGATAATGACGATGGCCATGTGGAGAGAAAAATGATCAGAAGGTCTGCCAGAAGCTCCTCGGACATCAGCCTGGCTCCCCAGTCTCCCCCTTTTGTGGGCATCAAGACACTCCTCAGGCGCCTGGGTGGCTCAGTCGTTGGGTGTCTGCCTTCGGCTCGGGTCATGATCCCCGGGTCCTGGGATCGAGTCCCGCATCGAGCTCCCTGGTCAGTGGGAGGCCTGCTTCTCCCTCTCCCACTGCCCCTGCTTGTGTTCCTGCTTTCACTGTCTCTCTCTGTCAAATAAATAAATAAATCTTAAAAAAAAAAAAAGACACTCCTCATATTCTACCGTAAATGCCAGTTTCCTCCCCCTCTTCCTGCCTACACTGAATACAGAGGGCAGAACAGCCCTGAAGGCAGGGAAGGGGACTCACCCAGCAGGTACTTAATAACTGTTTGTCAACCCATGGCCCTACTGCCTTCCCTGGGGAGGGGAGACGGGAAAGGAGCCCACACCAGCAGCTGCCAGACTCTGTGGGAAGGACACACAGAGCCAGGAGAGTAAAGAGGAGGGGACCTTGGGAAAGGTTGGGCTGAAGAGGAAGTGATACTGCTGGGATGGATGGGACTGAAATGTGGAGAGGGGTGGGGACCTTCCTTCCTTCCTTCCTTCCCTCCATCCTTTGTATTTATCCATGCATCATTCATTCCCTAATCTTGTGCTCTGGGCCGGGCCCTGTGCTGAGCACTGAGTAAAATATCATCTTGGCCCTTAAGGTGCGTCCAGTCTGGATGAGAGGGTAGACCTGGGAACAATTTGGGGTTGGGTGCACTAGTTAAAAATGCACACTTTGTGGGGACCCTTGGGTGGCTCAGTCCCTCCAGGCATCAGACTTGATTTCTGCTCAGGTCGTGATCTGGGTGGTGGGATAGAGCCCACTTGGGATTCTCTCTCTCCCGCTCCCTCGGCCCCTACGCCCATTAAAAAATGCACACTTTGGGGGCGCCTGGCCAGTTGGTGGAGCACGTGACTCTTGAGCTCAGAGTCCTGAGTTCAAGTCCCACGTTGGGCACGGAGCCTACTTAAAAAAAATAAAAAAACCCTGTGTGTGTGTATATATATATATATATATATATATATATAATTTTTTTAAATAAAAAAGCACACTTAGGGTCCCCTGCCAGATCTATTTATCAGAAGGCCTTAAGGTAGGACCAGACAGGATCTTTCGGTGGCTCTAATGCACATGACCTTGAGAACTTTTGGATAGTGTGATGCTAGGCTAAGGGGCTCTGGAACTCCGGAGACCTTCGTCTGGGAGACCCTGGATAGCTCCTGGAAGAGTGATATTTGGAAAGTTAAATACATCTGTGACGAGTGAGAGGAAAATAAAGCTCATTCCGACTTCAGCGAAAAGGCGATGGGGCAGGGCCAACGCAGACTTCGCCCACGACCTGCTCGCCCAGGTGCGGTCGCCTTCCGAGGTGTCTTGGCCTGCGGGGCACTCGTAGTCCCCACCCCCACCCCTTCCCAGGTGACGCACATTTGAGCCGCCGTCTCTCGGTGGCGCGGGTTCGAGTCCCAGTGTCGGCTGCCATGGCGGACGCGGAGCCGGAGGCTGAGGACGGCAGCGAGGATGGCGGTGGCGGCGCCGGGGCCCCCCCCGGCCAGAGCGGCACCGCCGCGCGCGTGGCCCCGCTGGGCCCCGAGCAGCTGCGGCAGGTCCTGGAGCAGGTGACGAAGGCGCAGCCGCCCGCCGAGCCGCCGCCGCCCTTCGTGCTGCAGGACGCGGCGCGGCGGCTGCGGGACGCGGCGCAGCAGGCCGCCTTGCAGCAGGGCCCCGGCGCCGAGCCCCCGCGCCCGCCGCGCCTGCTGCCGCCCCAGGTGAGGCGCCGGGAGGGACAGGGGGAAACCGGCCTGGAGGGGGCCGAGGCCTTGCGGCGGGCGGACCGGGGCCCGCGTCCCGGCACCCCCTCTTCGGCCTCGGAGCTGGCGGGCAGGAGAGGCAGCGTCCGGCCCGCCTGTCACCGCTCCTGCGTTTGCAGCTCCTCCAGCGCACCTCGTGGGCCCCCCTGCCTGGGACCCCGCCCGCTTTCGCCGCGCTGCTCGGGGCGCCTCGGTGCCGCCGGGCTCCTCTCCCAGGCCTTTGTCATTCATCCCGCGTTTGCGGAGCCCTCGCTGTGTTCCGAGCACTGCCCTAGGTGCCGCAGGTGCAGCCTTGAACAGTCGGTGAAGGACCTGAGGGAGGTTCTGGGAGTGACGAGGGGGCTGCTTTAGAATGAGTAGTCCTTCGGCCTGACACTGGAGCGGAGACCTGAATGCATTAAACGGAACCAGCCTGCAGAGCTTTTCCCGTGGAAGGTGCAGCGAGTGCCAAGGCAGGGAGTTGGGACACAGTTAAGCACGCTATCCTAGTTGGATGCAGGACTTACCAGCCTGGGTGGTAGTGCCTGGATTTGGAACCCCAGTGCCCAGCACAGAGCCTGACATACACTTAATGAAGGAAATACATGAAAGCACTCAGTATACTACAAAATACCATTTCTCAGTGTCATTATTTCACGGGTCACACAGCTCTTGACTGCTAGGGAAGTTGGAACTAGAGCATGGTCTTCTAAGCCCAGAGGGTCCCGTATAGCTCCTGAAGCCAGAGGTCCTTCACATCATCTGTAAAGCCACATCCCCTTTCAGAGCTGGGGTTGCAAATGACACTGACACTTCTCACCCCAAAGTTGCCGGAGGGATGCTTCTTCTTAGAATAAATAGATGGAGAATAGAATCAACAGTGTTCGTTGTTGTCGTTGTTATTAGCAGTCTTCGTTTTTGTTTTTTTTCAGGGAGTGATTTTGGCTGCTTAGAGTTGTACCCAGTTGGTGATCAAGACTGGAGAGGTGTCTTGCTAATGTTGGAGAAGACAGTTATGAATCTGCCCAAACTGTTTCCTAGAGGTGTGACCCTGAGTAACCCAACCTCTCTGGGCTTTGGTTCCTTTATTCGCAAGAGGGATGGCTCGTTGGATGAGCCTTCTAGCTCATACTCTGCGAAGAAGCAAAGGTCGCCTGCATATGTGGCACAAGCAAGTCTGGAGGAGGAGGGTGGTGGTGGCCACTGTCTGCAGAGCCTCTGCCCCATGCCTGGCACTGTGCCAGTCCACTTCTCAGCAGGCTCATGAAAGTGTATCAGCATTCTCCAGATGAGGACCAAGCTCAGGGAGGTTGAGTGACTTTGCTCAGGGCTCCCCAGGTGTGGCTGCGCTCCAGCACCTGTTGAATGTGACCCCAGCTTTTTGGGTTTGGTATGGCAACTTAAAGAGTCCCAAAATGACATTTTCCATAAAATGCAAGCACACTTAATCAGAATGAAGCAGCATGATTGTATCCTGTAGCTAATCTGATTGGAATGGCATAAATTCTCCCTGGCTTCGCAATAGTGTAATTTTGCTGTCTAGTCAGCTGATACCCTTTGAGCCCCAGCTGTGCCAGGGAAGCCACAAAAGCAAACCAGATATGTACCTTGCACCCAAGGAGGTTATGATCTAACCAATGAGGTAAAACATGACTCAGGTAACTTCTAAGCAAGGTCAGACAACTAGAGATGGAGAACTGGATCTAAAGAGATAAAGGGAGAAGTTATTTCTGGCTGAAGGGATCAGAAATTACTTTGTCGAAGGATGAGTCCCAGTTGAAAATATGGAAGGGGACAGGTAGTGGCGGGGGTAGGATGGAATGTGCATTTAGAGAACCCAGGCCTTGTGGTTCTCTGTATGTGGGGCGGGGGGGGGG